TCCACGCGCGTGACCGTGCGTGCGTCCGGCGTAAAAATGAGGAGGACGGGCGTCGCACAGCACGACCGTTGGTACAAGGGCGTCGAAGGTCGCAGCTGCGCGCCGAGGCGGCATGCAGGTGCGTCCCTCTTTCGCGATACAAGCGCGCGATTTGGAAACGCGGTGCTACGCCAATCGTTCGGGCCGAAGATGCCGCCCGTGTCAAACGCCGCGACCGCCAAGCGATTCGAAGGGAGGGGGTATAGGTATAGGTATAGGGAATCCGCATGTAAAAGCGGTCGAAGCGACAAGCGTCGATAGGTTAGGCGATAGTTTGGCTTGGAGATGGATCGAAACGTGATCTTTCTTAGACTGTGCAATGTCGACTGTGAATAATGCGAAAGGGGAATCGATATGGATATATCGAGCGATTGTTACAAGAGGAGATATCTGTAACCGTTTTCAATAACTAACTAAATTCGTGTATAGATAAATAATATTGAAAACATTGTTTTCTGGGTAATTAATTGTGCAAATGAAAATGATTATGACGATCACGAATTGATGGAAGATCACGACCACTAGAAAATGAGGAATTTTATAAGAATTGTTAAATATCTTTTTAATATTTCATGCATTATGAATAGCTAAAATGAAGAATATGTATATATGTGTATACATGTTTGTTTTATAAAATTTATTCAAATATTTGCCAACAAATATATTAGCAAATTAATTAAAATTTTTTTTTTATTATTAATTTGATGATATTTACTCATGTATTTGATAAATAGAAATGAGTAAAATGAAGAATTTTATGTATTTTTCTAAAATTTGCATGGAAAAGAAATTTATAAAAAATTCATTCATTGTATTATTGATCATAAGATTTCAGTTTTTGTTATTTCTAATTGTAAGTACGTACGTATCTCGTAACACGAGAAAGGAGGCAGCACTAGATGGACTCCAATTAAAAGCTTCCCCGGTTCATTTGAAACAAGCTATACTATGATACAGCTACTATATAATATACAATGATGATGAAGAAGCAAAAAATAAAACATCCAGCAAATATAAATGTAGAACAGTTGGAGATAGAACGTCGTGCGCGAATGTAAAATATTTTTCAAGTTAATCTTTAAACGCAATTTAAATGATTTTTAATTTAAAACAATGCGAGCATTTCTTTAGTGTATATAAATTTAATTCTATTCGATGAAGATATATCGATTTCTAAAAACGTGACGAGTGTGTTTAATATGAAAAGATGATGATTCTACTTGAAAACTATTTTGTAAATAAACAAT